ACTGATCTGCCTCACTCAGGAAAAGCGCAATGATGGTGCCAACTTGGGCCAGTGAAGCAACATCCTCCACAACTAGACTGAAGAACAAAATGACAGCAACCTGTCTGTTCCCCTTCCCCCAATTCCCCAGCACTGTTCCCAACCCCCCAATTCCCCAATAAAAATCTTAAAAATAAAAAAAATATTTAAATATATATATATATGCAAAACTAAATGAGAAACCTTTTTTCATTTAGAAGATCATCAAAGATTTGAAAGTTTGATAATACTCAATATCAGTGAGAAAACAATCACTCTTAAGACTGTTTGTGAGAGTATAAATTAGTCCAAGTGTTTTAGAGGGCAACTTGACAATACCTATAAAAATGTAAGTGTATATAACCCTAGGCTCAGCAATTCTATCCCTGGAGCAAATAGGCTTATATAACCATGCAAAGAACAATGAACAAACTGTTGATTGCTGCATTTTTTACAGTCGTGATTTAAATATTTAAATATTTATCATAGCCATAACTTGTTATGGCATATCCATACAATGGAGTTTGCAACTTAAAATTAGGTAGCTCTATTTATGCTAATATGGAATGAACTTTAAAATATATGGTTAATAGAAAAAAAGCACAGGAATAGAACAAAGAATAGTATGCATAATAACCCACTTGTATAAGAAAAAAAGGTGTGGATATGTGAATGTGCATGGATACAGGCCCATAATTGCCCATCTAAAACCCTTGAGACCAGATAGGATTTAAATTCAGAATTTCTTTGGATTTTAGAAAGATTGTGTTTTGGAATTCAATTTTTTAAGGGGTATGTATAACACTCCCAGAGAACAGTTACATCATGGGCAGCACCCCATAATCAATTAAATCAGTATTTCTGCAATGAAGTATTTACAGATTAAATGGTAAAATGTCTAGGAAGAGGGGAAGAGTTTGGTGTACATACATTAAATAAGGTTGGGAAAGAATAATTACTGAAGCTGTTTGGTGGGTACATGAGATTTTATTACATTATCTACTTTTATATCTGTTTGAAATTTTCCATAATAAATGCTTAAAAATATTTTTTTGGAGTGAAGTTTTGTAAACATTTATAGTAAGTAAGACAAAGTGGGATAAAAATAATTAACCTCAAATCACTTACATCACGGTTTGCTGCGTTCAGATCAATTTAGATTTTGCTGCCAAATGGTCTATGGAAAATATTTCAGTTTTCAAGGTGTTTTGGATTTTGGAATTGTAGAAAAGGAACCTATAACTCTTATGATATATAACAATGCAAGACATTTGTTCAGACTGTTCAGAATTTGTTACCTCTCATATTTGGGACTAGGAGTTGGGGGTGGGAGATGTGGAAAAGAAGAAATATTTGCTTTTTATATTCTTTTTTTACAGTTTGAATTAAGTTTTTAAATTAAAAATAGTTTAAATAGAAAAAAAATCACTGGTGAAACATTGGTTGTGTCTTCATTGACACCTGGGTTGCTTCCACCTTGTGGCTATTTGTGAATAATGACGCTATGAATGTGGGTGTACAAATATATATTTTAGTCCCTGCTTTCAACTTTTTTGGGTAGATACCCAGAAGTAGAATTGCTGGATCATATAATCCTATTTTTGATTTTTTGTGGAACTGCTGTTCTGTTTTCCTAGTAGTTGCACCATTTTACATTCTCCATCAGCAGTGAGCAAGGGTTCCAACTTCTCGCAAATGCTTGCTATTTTGTTTTTCGATAGTAGTCATCCTAATGAGTATGCAGTGGTATCTCATTGTGGTTTGGGTTTGCACTTCCCTAATGACTAGTGATGTTGAGAATCTTTTCATGTACTTATTGGCCATTTGTGTATCTTTTTTTGGAGCAGTGTCTATTCAGGTCCTTTGTCCATTTTTCAATCAGTTTTTGTTGTTGTTGTTATTGTTGAGTTGTAGGAGTTCTTTAAATATTCTGGATATTAACCCCTTATCAGATCTGATTTGTAAATATTTTTTCCCAATCCATGGGTTGCCTTTTCACTCTATTGATGGTGTCCTTTGATGCATAGCAGTTTTCAATTTTGATAATTTTTACTATATCTATTCTTTTGTTACATGCGCTTTTGGTATCATATCCAAGCAATCACTGTCAAATCCAATGTCATGAAGCTTTTCCTCTAGGCTTTCTGCTGAGAGTTTTATTGTTTTAGGTCTTACATTTAGGTCTTTGATCCATTTTGAGTAAATTTTTGTATATGGTGTAAGGTAATAGCCCAACTTCTTTTGTCTACATATGGATATCCAGTTTTCCTGGCACCATTTGTTGAAAAGACTGTCCTTTCTCCCATTGAATGATCTTGGCACCCTTGTCGATCATATGATCATTTGACCATATATGATGGGAGGTAATTTTAATAAGAGTGGAAATTCAGCCAGACATTGACAGCTGGGGTACCATTAGAATGTTCAGGATTCAGTGGGGAAGGCATTTATATGTGGAGGTACTTCAGCCAACATATGGAGGTGGGTGGGAGAAAGCATGGTGGCTTCAGAGAATAAGGGGACGATTGAGAGAGGAATTGGGTTGCTGAGCTCAGTGGGGAGTTTAAGGTGAAGTCAAGTAGTAGAAAGACATACATAGCAGGTTTCTCCCCGGTCGACTAATATAAAGAAAGCCATGTTTCAAAAGATTAATGTGGTAGTGCAGCACATGAGGGAAAGCGTAGTTCTCATCTTTAAGCCAAGGCCAAGTAAGCAGGCAATGATTTTAAGCCATGAACCACAGAATGAGAAAAGCCAGCCAAGCTATTTACATTGACTATCTTGTGAAAATTCCCAAGACAGGCCACTGATCTTTTCTTTTGTTTTCCTACCTGATTCATTTCATTTCTGTTCTAATTTCTCTATATATAATTTCTTGTTAGCTGCCATCTTGGGAATACATAAAGACAAAGTTATATTTATGCCATTATGTGTTTCACTTAATTGACCATTTAATAATACATGGTGTTGTCAGTTATTCATATTTAAGTCTTGTGAAGAGGTTTATGATCAAAGTGTCATTATGTGTCTCATTGATTGTGTCCTTGGGGGTGACCTATTCCAGTAAAAATGACACAGTTTCTCCTTAAAGTTTGCAGAATGTTAGGAAACCTTTCTTTTCTCAGTTCTGTTTGATATCTTGATAAGGAACTGATTCTTGATGTGAATGCCTGTTTTAAACTAAGCATGTTATATTACTCTATTACTTTGCCATGTGCTATATTAAAACAGGTAACATAATTTACTTACAGGCTTTTACCTCAGAGTTTTATGTTTCTATTTACTATGAAGTGTTTTTCATCACTCTATTGTTAAAAATAATTCAGTCTATTGTGAAAATTGTGATGATATTCAGTCTCATGTTCCTTCACTGTATTTTTATCAGATTATCATTTTTCAGAGGAGAAAATTTTTATCTAAAAATATGTAATTAGAGAAAATGTTTTATATGTCACCTTTTAAAGAGAAAATGTTTTATATGTCACCTTTTAAAGGTTACAATCTTCTTCATCCATTGGTGATTCAAGTCCATCAGATTTAATGAAAGATATTCACGCTATAAACTGCAGGAATGTAAGTACAATCATAAGTGATAATATTCATGAAATAAATGAACAATAAAATTTGCTCCTTGTTGATTATTTCTCCTGAGAAAACAAGCCATTCTATGAAAAATAAATGAGCTCTTTTCTAGTTAGTCTGTGGTTTTTAATAGGCATTGGTTAATACTGAAGCTGCTGGCATCAGATTTTCTGGGCCCAAATTGTGAATCAGACATTTACCGCTTATTACCCCCAGTCTTGTTATTTAAACTCGCTGTGACTTGATTTCCTCATCTGTAAAACAGGAATAATAACAACACCAGTCTCTTGGAATGGTGTATGAGTTAAGTGATTTAATATGAAAACAAACAAAACTTAACAGTGTCTGGTAAACATCATGTGTTCAATAAATGGTAGTTATTATAGTTGTTATTTTAATAGTTTCCAATTTGGTGGATTAAATATGTTCTTTATGTCTGGGAAAAAAGTTTAATATAAGCTGCAAGATAAGTATTACTTACTATTTACTTCAGTTGAACAAATACTAGCTATTTGAAATATGGGATTGTTGGAAAAGTCATGACACCTTTTTGCAACGAAAAACAGAAAAAATACGTCATGACTTTTCCGACAGCCCAATACATTGCTGCATATACAAAAATGACTAAACATAGTGCTAATATTTGGAAGACTCTCATACAATGTAATTTTAATGTAGCCCCAACAACAAAAAGCTCTAAAGTAGGTCTAAGAATAAGAATACAGGAGAAAAAAGAAATCTGACCAGACAAAAGGGAACTTGCAAATACATTTTTACATATGAGTAAATATCATGTCTTTTGATCTGGTATTTTTAAATTTTACTCATACATTTAGCAAATGTTTATTGGATACTCATTTTATGCCAAGCTATATGCTAGAAACGGGTTAAGTCATTAGAATAAAAATCCCCAAGTAGTGTACATTATAAAGGCATTCTATAGATAAAGTACTTCAACTTAAGACAACATAGGTAAATGGTTTCTTATTTTGATGAGTTACATTGAATATTAGATTGTTTGGCCTCTAACTGTGTAACAGTATAATAACTTTTTGGTAAAAAGCTTCTGGTTTAATCTACCTCGCTTCCAAAGCAATATTTCCCATTATAGTTTCATAAGGGTTATAGTTTTGCTATCATCTTTTAAAAACTGAAATTGGTTATGAACTTTTCTTTCTTTATCTAAAAATTTTCTTTTAGTATATACATTCAGTATTGGTTATGAAGAATGTAGGCTTTGGAGGCAGGTAGACTTAGGTTAGAATTATGGTTCCAACACTTTGGGCAAGACTTGTACTACAGCTACCTCACAACATTTTAAAAATGAAGTGATATGATGCACGTGGAGTGCTTAAGCACGTAGTACTCAGTAAATGCCAGCTGCCGTATTGATGATGACACTCATGGCACTGCCAGCAAGCCCATGTTTGATAGCTGCTAAGAAGTATTTAATTCAAGTAGGAACCTTACTCTTTTTCTGTCCTTTCAGATGTCAAATAAGGAGTTGATTCCACTAAGTCCTTCTGAAATAAAGGGGCTAGAAGCTACAGTGCAAAAACACAGCGCTGTTGCTCCCCACAGTCACGAACCATTCCTAGGTAAGTGTTTTTTGGGCAACTGCCTGCCATTTTGGTTTTCCAAAAACCCCTTCTTAATCACTATATTTTCAGGCATAGGAGAATTCTAGAGAAGCAGATAAGTTGAAAACTAAGATTTTTTCCATTCAAAATTCTAAATACAATCGTTATCCTCTTGATTTTAAAAGGTATGTTACTTAATGGACCTGTCATTCAAAATTCAATCATCAACTGAATCACTTATAAGTATTGTTATTGTTCATACATTACAATTTAAATAAAATTAATTTCTACCTAGGAAGAATGTCCATTCTCGGGAATTCAAGAATTTTTAAAGGATACCAATCATAAAAAGTTTAAGATGTAATTATGTATTTTAGCTATGTTTATGCCAAAGTCCAAATCAAGTAAATTGAAATGACACTGTTTTATAACCCCCATAACTGACACTGATCTACTGAAATTATGTTAAAGAAAACTTGAAGAAACCTGGATCATCTCAAGTTCTATTGTGCTTTGAAAGATATCAAGAAAACATTGGTTAATTTGTAGCTATGTTTAACCCTTAATTTCTAGAACTTTTTCCGTATCTCTAACTTAAATCTCATTTCCATAGCCCCTCCCTAGGTCCTTTTTCAATAAAAAATCTGGTTACTTCCCTTTTATGAGTATTTCAAGGTTTTAGAAGATGATGCTTTTGTCTCAGCCTTCTCATTTTTGGGTTAAACAAATAGAATTTTTTCACAAGGCAGATTAAGTCAAATTTCTCCTGGGCATTCTCTCCCCCTCCCCCTCCCTATATATATC